CTGATCGTGAGATGGAAAAGCATCATCAATAAGAATGGAGACTATTTAATACATTTTTGTTTTGGTATATACGTTCTTCAGGTTTTTTCATCTAAAAAAAGGTGACATTAATTTCTTGACGACCTAATACAATAATGCTGTTTTGGGCTTACTGTTACTTTATTATACAAAGCCCCAGGTTTTATGCACCAAAGAAACGTATGTGTTCAACAGCTTAAAATTATGCATTACAAAATTAATATTTCTGCAGAAAATATAAATCAATTACTCATTGACTGTGAGTCAAAATTTAAATTATTTAATCCTTACCTAAAGTAGTAAGTATTAAGGCTATGTTAGTCATAATGCAAAACATTATTTGTACTGAAATAAAAGCAACTCTTATACCATTATGATGAGAATTAAAAATCTTCCAAAGAAATTGTTTTGGGTTTCCATGAACAAACATGCTTAAAATATTTGAGAAAAGTTAAGAACAATTGAACTTGTAAGTTTTTAAAGTTAGGGGAAAATATCTTCTGGGCTCCCATGTAATTTCATTTTTCATATCTTTTCTTAACTATTTTCAACATCATACCCGATCTAATTAAAAACTCGTCACTTTTTTTTTTTACAGTAACATTGACTCCCTAACTTCACTTTCCAATAGAAAATGCTTCTTTCTCTAGGATACACAGTGTCAGTAAAACCCGTCTAACATTAACATTGTCTTCTTAACTTTACTTTTAAAAGTTAATTATTATAAATGTGATATTTAAAGTTTTATTATGTAACTCTATACAAGTCATACTTTGTGTATGCAGTTTAATTGTTGTACTAGGCTTTTGTAAAATTGTTGATGTCATCTTACTCGAAGATTCTAAGTTTTTCTCATTATTTTTAATATTTTTGTTACTAGAGGGCTAGATATTTCTAGTTTTTTCTGTCGTGTGTTATAAATACTTGCAGATATGGAGTGCAAGTAAGTAAGTTAGTGAAAGTGAAGTTTGACTGCATGATTGTCAGCTTAACTGTAATGGATGATTTCTAAAGTGAGTTTTCACAGCTTGTGTTGTAACAACACAGATAGAGAAGAATAATTTGTCTTGTCAAAGGGTGTTCTTATGTAACTGAATCAGCCTGTGTGGACTTTTGACAAAAAAGAGCATTATTTAAATCCCTAGATTCAACTGTGGTAAACAATAGTGCAAGAAACTTTTATACATACATTTGACCTATTTTGAATATATATATTATTTTAAAACAAGTGGATTGTGTGCTGTCCATTTATTGTTGAAATTTTTTGCAAACAAGTCACAGACACCTACTGTAGAAGAATCCCATCCCTATAAAAACCAGACACCAATAAAACACAATTATCTCCCTAGGATACTCGGTGTCACTAAAGCTCCGCTGATGGTAACACTGATTTTTTGGTTTAATTTTCCAGTGAAATACACTTCTATATAGAATATTTAGTGTCAGCATAACTCATGTGACAGTAATACTCACTTCTTAACTTCATATTCTAGTAAAATATGTTTCTCTCTTTAGAAAGTGTAATTGTAGAAGAATTTCATCAAAAACAACTGCAGTACAGTTCTATTAAAATCCTTGTATCTCAACTATAAAAAAATACATTTTGAAAGAAATCCAATCATTCAAACTACTACTTTAACACATCAATCAAATACACTAAGACACCATAACTTTCTCAATCTATGTGGAAAAATGTAACGAATTACAAAGAACCTTTAGTAAGCTACATTAATCAGAAAAACAGTTACCGATTTAGAACTTTCCAAACCCTTGAGGAACAATGTACAGAAGTACTAAGAGCATTGTATTTGTGTAACGTACTTCTGAACATTGTTCCACATGGGTTGAGAAAATTCTGGTGTGTTGGTGTTATTCTAATTAATGTAAGTTATTAGAGTAGAATACTTTTGGTACTTCTTGATGTTCTATTGTTTGACATGGATTGAGAAAGGTGTTATGTGTAAGTGTTATTGTATTTGATGTATGTTAATATAATTTAATGATCTTGGTACTTCCCTACATTTTTCCACATGGGTTGAGAAAGTTATGGTGTGTTGGTGTTATTTAATTAATGTATGTTACTATAATTTAATGCTCTTGGTACTTCCCTTCATTGTTACACTTGGGATGAGAAAGGTTTGATGTGCAAGTGTTATTGTATTTAATGTAAGTTACAAGAGTATAATGCTCTTGGTACTTCTGAATATTGTTCCACATGGGTTGAGAAAGTTATGGTGTGTTGGTGTTATTCTAATTAATGAAGGTGACTAGAATATAATGCTCTTGGTACTTCTCTATGTTGTTACAAATGGATTGAGAAGGTCCTTGAGTATGAGTGTTATTCTAATTAATGCATGTTAATATAGTAGAGTGCTCTTGGTACTTCTCTACATTGAATAATACCAGAACTCTCCAAACCCACGTAGAACACTGTACAGAAGTACCAAGAGCACTCTACTACAGTAATCTACATTAATTAGAATAATACCAGAACTCTCTAAACCCACATATAACACTGTACAGAAGTACCAAGACACTCTACTACAGTAATCTACATTAATTAGAATAATACCAGAACTCTCTAAACCCACATAGAACACTGTACAGAAGTACCAAGAGCACTCTACTACAGTAATCTACATTAATTACAATAATACCAGAACTCTCTAAACCCACATAGAACACTGTACAGAAGTACCAAGACACTCTACTACAGTAACATATAATGTAAAAAAAGGGGGTTTCACTTTTATATTCATTAGGATTTATTCCTGTTAGAAAAGTTAAAGGTAGACAGTAAAATACTAAAAACAATTATTATTTCAAGATGTATACCTTTTCATAATTGTGTGATTAATTTAATGTGATGATTTTGGACATAAAAATGTAATAACTCTGGAGTCATGTCCATCCATTGTACATGTACTTGATATGACTAATAAAGTTGGTTATTGTACATATATTTGGTATAGTTAGTAAGGTTTGTTATTGTAGATGTCTGGTATAGTTAGTAAGGTTGGTTATCATAAATATATTTGGTATAGCTACTAAGGTTCGTTACTGTAAATATATTTGGTATAGCTAGTAAGGATAGTTATTGTAAATGTATTTATTATAGTTAGTAAGGTTGGTTAACATAAATATATTTGGTATAGTTAATAAGGTTGGTTATCGTAAATATATTTGGCATAGCTAGTAAGGTTGGTTATCATATATATATTTAGTATAGCTAGCAAGGATAGTTATTGTAGATATATTTGGTATAGTTAGTAAGGTTTGTTATTGTAGATGTCTTTGTTATAGTTAGTAAGGTTGGTTATCATATATATATTTGGTATAGCCACTAAGGTTCGTTATTGTAAATATATTTGGTATAGCTAGTAAGGTTGGTTATCATAAATATATTTGGTATAGTTAGTAAGGTTGGTTTTCATAAATATATTTGGTATAGCTAGTAAGCATAGTTATTGTACATATATTTGGTATAGTTAATAAGGTTGGTTATTGTAAATATATTTGGTATAGTTAGTAAGGTTGGTTATCGTAAATATATTTGGTATAGTTAGTAAGGTTGGCTATCGTAAATATATTTGGTATAGCTAGTAAGCATAGTTATTGTACATATATTTGGTATAGTTAATAAGGTTGGTTATCGTAAATATATTTAGTATAATTAGTAAGGTAGGTTATCGTAAATATATTTGGTATAGTTAGTAAGGTTGGTTATCGTAAATATATTTGGTATAGTTAGTAAGGTTGGTTATCGTAAATATATTTGGTATAGTTAGTAAGGTTGGCTATCGTAAATATATTTGGTATAGCTAGCAAGGATAGTTATTGTAGATATATTTGGTATAGTTAGTAAGGTTGATTATCGTAAATATATTTGGCATAGCTAGTAAGGTTGGTTATCATAAATATATTTAGTATAGCTAGCAAGGATAGTTATTGTAGATATATTTGGTATAGTTAGTAAGGTTGGTTATTGTAAATATATTTGGTATAGTTAGTAAAGTTGGAACTTGTATTTCATACATCTAGTAAAGTGTTTTATTGTACTTCTGTTTAGTAGTGCTAGTAAGGTTGATTATTGTAAATATATTTGATAATACTAGTGAGGTTCGTTATTGCCTATCAGTTAGGCCAAAACAACTAAAATTGATACAGTTGGTTACATTTTCAGGTAAATATTTGTAAATAGAATAAAAGATTGATCTAATAAGGAGTTGTAAGTGGATTGGTATATTGATATTACTTAACCAGCTTATGAGTCTCAGTTTTTCTTTATAACCAGTAACTAAAACAACAGGTAGTATATAAATTTTTTTTTTCATCTGGGGCTAGAATAATCTATTTTTAAAATTTCTTTAGCTGCTTGATAGTTTGTTATTGGACAGATGGATACCCAGATCCATTGATGTTATTGCTGTTGTTGTTAGTAAGTAAGATATGTGTTTGAGATGTAACAATTTCATAAGTCATTATTCTATAGATAAACCCAGATTGAGTAAACATTATTACTATTGTTGTTAATAAATAAGATGATATATGTGAAATGTAACAATTTGATAATTTATTCCTATATAGATGTACCCAGATCCAGTGAGTGTTATTACTATTGTTGATAAAGAAGGGCGTGTAGTATCTAAAGAAGCATGCTGTGGCACGTGAGTAGTATTTTGTTAAGGACAACGTCAACCTAGTTGGTTGATGTTTAAGTTTTCTTCCAAAATTTGTAATGACTTTTTGTCAATTATATTTCCTTAGTTTAAGTAATCCAGTAGAAATTGATGAAGATAATCATAAGTAATTTTAAAACCAGGTGTTTTTAATATAAGATAATGTCCACATAACGTAGCCAGTATGTTTGTTTAATGTTACTTTCTTTGCTAATAAAATATTGTGTACAAAGCTATTTTGTTTAACTGTAGTCAGTCATACTCTGATGTATAATTTTTATCACTGATTATGTTCTTGCATTAAGTCATTATATGAAGATCTTTACAATGTTAAAATATTACCATTAAATATTAACTTTGGTAATTTACCTATCTATCAACTTTTCAAAAGTCAGAGGACATTTATTAGCAGCTTAGTAAGTTTTAGGAATAGTTGCTGAGGCTTTCTCTAAAACACAGTATATTATCAGGTAGAAAGAAACAAACAAACACTATAATGAAATGCACAGAGAAATAAAAAATTATTCCTGATATTTGGCTAAAGACAAAATATTGACTAGTGCTCATTTTCTTTGCAGATATAATAACATGTAGTAATATGTTCTTTGTGATTTTATACTACTCCAGCCATGTGCTCAGTACAGGAGATATTGGGGAAGTTGTACTTATATCTCACCAGTCCATTGCTCAGACACGAAAACGAATTCACGTTGTAGCAGGACAAGAAGCAGGAAAAATTTTGGAAAAAGGAAATAACCTGTTATCATCCACCAAAACACTGTCAGCTATAATCAACTGTATCAAACTTTCTCAGGCTAGTTTCTTTTTCAGTGTTTCAATGGTTTCTGAAATAAATATCTCATGTTTACTAGAACCTCTCAAGAAAGTATCTGTCTCATATTTGTTACAACCTTTCTCAAACAAGTATCTGTCTCATATTTACTAGAACCTTTCTAAAGTAAGTATCTGTCTCATATTTACCAGAACCTTTCTCAAGCAAGTATCTGTCTCATATTTACTAGAACCTTTCTAAAGTAAGTATCTTTCTCATATTTACCAGAACCTTTCTAAAGTATCTGTCTCATATTTACTAGCACCTTTCTAAAGTAAGTATCTGTCTAATATTTACCAGAACCTTTCTAAAGTATCTGTCTTATATTTACTAGAACCTTTCTCAAAGAAGTATCTGTCTCATATTTACTAGAACCTTTCTCAAAGAAGTATCTGTCTCATATTTACTAGAACCTTTCTAAAGTAAATATCTGTTTCATATTTACCAGAACCTTTCTAAAATAAGTATCTGTCTCATATTTACCAGAACCTTTCTCAAAGAAGTATCTGTCTCATATTTACTAGAACCTTTCTCAAAGAAGAATCTGTCACATATTTACTAGAACCTTTCTCAAAGAAGTATCTGTCTCATGTTTACTAGAAGCTTTCTAAAACAAGTATCTGTCTCATGTTTACTAGAACCTTTCTCAAGCAAGTATCTGTCTCATATTTACCAGAACCTTTCTAAAGTATCTGTCTCATATTTACTAGAACCTTTCTCAAAGAAGTATCTGTCTCATGTTTGCTAGAACCTTTCACAAACAAACTAGTCAACAGCTGTTTTGTTGCCCGAGGCAAGTTTTGCTTTTCATCTTTTATATATATATATGTATATATAATTATGCAACAAACTGTAGAACTATGAATCAAGTTTATATTTTTCAATGTTTTATGGAAGCAACAGTCAACATATGAAAACTGTTCCAGTGCATAGTACCTTTGTATCTTTTATTGAGGTATTTAAACTTTCATATTGTTTGATTTAACCTCAATTATTATCCCTGATAATGATAAAATGAAATGGTTGTCAGTTGAAACAGTCATATTTGTGTAATGGTTGATCTCAGGTTGGGTTTTAATCAGGTGAAGTATGAAATACTTTCTTTCTCTACTAGCAACAGTTTCCCACCTGTCTTGTTTATGTCATGATTGATTTCAGATGGAGATTTAATTAGTTGAAATAATTTCTTTCTCTACTAGCAACAGTTTTCCACCTGTCTTGTTTATGTCATCGTTGATTTTAGATGGGGGTTTAATCAATTTAAATAGTTTTCTTGTCTACTGGCAGTAGTTTTCAACCATTCTTGCTTGTGTCATGGTGATCATAAGTTGAATTTTAATAACTTTGAATATGGAATAGTTTTTTCACCACTAGCAAATGTGATTGATAAAGTCTGTTAAGTTCTCAGCCTTGGAAAATGATGATGTTAATCTGTTCTTACACATGTATTCCATACATTTTTGTTGATTTGTTGATCCACACAGTGTTTCAGAAAGTTCTTTGATCTTATTCTTGGCTGTTCAGCAAGAAACTGAATAGCTGACTATTTTCCAGTAGAAGCTGATATTTTGTTGTTTAATTGACTTGATGTATTAAGTTTTGGAAAAACCTTTTAATAAGGTGCAATACAAAATAATAGCTAATAAACCACATACTAAGGTGTTGGGAAAAGACTAGTTATTAGGGTTGTAGATGGTGGTTGAGGGAAAGCAAAATATTGTTGTTAATGGACTGGACCCATGTACTAGTGTAGTATATCTCAGGGTTTAGTTCTTGAGCCAATGTTTTTTGTTATTTACAATAATGATATTGGTAGGGGGTGTAATTAGTAAATTAGCAAAGTTTGTCAATTATATTAAACCTTCACTATTTTTAGCCATGTTGAGGTATTACAGGATGACTTGGATCAGTTAGTAAGATGGAAAAATAGCTAGCATAGGGTTGGTCTTTAATTATAGAGTGTACATTTGTAATGCATTTGGTTTATCATAATTTGTATATATTTAATATAGAAGGGAACTCCCTCAACAGAGTGACTTAAGAAAAGTATCTTGGCATAATGGTGGATAAGTCACTAAAACTATCAAAGCAATGCTCTGTTGCTAGTGATAAAGCTAATGGAAATTAGGATGCATTTATAGACATATGGATAACAAGTCACTGGTTACAAATACTGTGTATGGTTTTGGACTATTTATTTAAAAAGGATATTGATATACTGAAAAGGATCCAGAGGAGGACTTACTATGATGATTTCGTGGATGGAATGTTTATCTTATACAGATAGGTTAAGATAACTTACTTTCTTGCACTCACTTGGGTGTCTCCAAACTTTCCTGTATCTGTCAAGAAAGTCAACACAGTAATAGGACTCATCAGTGAAGAGTATGGCTCTCCATTGTTGTGCAGTCCACTTCCTGTGTTCTCTAGCCCACTGCAGTTGTGTCTGCCTGTGCTGTTGGCTTAAAGGAACATGAACAGCAGGACGTCCAGCCTTCACCTGAACTTCGTGAAGGCATCTGTGCACTGCCTGTGTAGACGTTCAGACTCCTGTGGCATCTTGGAGGGAATTATGACGGTTAACAGCTATAGCAAAGCGATTCCTTCGAGCCTGGATGGTCAAGCAGCAATCTTGTTGTGGAGTTGTTAGTCTTTTCCTTTCTCCACCATGTCTCCTGTTGACTCTGCCAAACCATCTGAACCTGTTCCAGGCTCTGGACATCACACTGCAGGATATGCCAAGAGCAGCAACAACCCTGCATTGAGTCATGCCTCTCTGCAGCATCTCAACAGCCCTGTTAAGTTCTGCAGGGGAAAGATGATACCTTTGATCTAAACGAGGCATTTTCTGCACTGCATAATCTTAAATAGATCAATTGTAGCATGCAATGATCAGTGATCTCAAATTAAGGACCTCACAATTTCACTGTATGAACTTTCAGTTTGGGGAGTGTGGTCAGAAAACAAAGCCAGGATCCAATTAAAGTCACCCAGGCAGAAAGTTTGCACTTGGCAGACAATGTCCAGATAATGGACTTCTAAGCTATGTCTTTTTTTAGAACTGACCTTTATTAACATTATTGTACTTATTATGTAAAAACATGATCCCTAGCAAATGTTGACTACTGTAGTTTAAGATTCTAAAAAAGACAAGCTAAGCTACAGTTAAGACATTGTTATTTTTCTAACAGAGTAATCACCTTATGAAATGAGTTGTTGTCAGCAGTAGTGGAGTGACCTTTACAGGAATTTCAAGGGGAGGGATGAATGATTTCTTTAAAAGTTAAGGGTGGGTTAAAATTTCCTTAAGAGCAACCTTGAATTACAAAATACTCCCCTGTTGTCGATAAGTTAGCTATATTTGAGAATACAATTTGTAAAATGAAACTACATTAGTACATGACATCACAGTCACGTGACAACCTCTTGCTTGCATTATTGTCTATGTCAAGATAATATTCAGGCATAAGAACTGTTCTTCACATCATGCCTCATTCAAGCAAGTTTTAAATTCTCATAATTTACATTACAAAGTACTTATGTGAAAGGTTAAATTGTGTAATTAAATTATGATATCTTACTTTAGCTAGAAGCCTATGTTTGGAAATATAAGATAACTAACCTTAGAATAACTAAAATTTGTAGAAAAGTGAATACCTGGAGCAGATGTGGCCTGGTGGTTAGCATGTTGGGCTGTGAATCTGAGGGATCATTCATATCCTGTTACCACAAAACTATTCAAATGTTGAAGTTGTGGGTACATTATAAGAGTGGTGGTGAAATCCTACTGTTAAATTAGAGTAGCTCAAGAGTTGGTGGTTGGTGCTCTTGACTAGTTCCTTCTCTCAGCTCAAAACTAGTGCAGGTTGTGAAGCTGTAGATTATGAAAATTTCTACCTTTACTTATACTCATCATTCAGGGAAGTAGTCTTATCCATGTATAGATATGATTTCTAGCTTTATCTATGTAAGAATCATCCTCATTTGGGTGAGTAATCATATCCATGTGTAGTATAACATGTCTCAGGACAACATCTAGGTTTATCTATAAATGTGATGTCATTATTCAGGGAATTAGTCTTATCCATGTATAGATATGATTTCCCAGGACAATTTCTAGCTTTATCTATGTATGCAGTATCATTCTTTAGAGATGTCATCCTATCCTTGTATAGTATATGGTCATTCAAGGAAATTTGTAGCTTTATCCATCTACAATATATCATATTTCAGAAAAGCCTATCTATGTACACTGTGTCATTACAGGTACACCAATGATTTTCCGGCACCCTTGGTTCCAGAGCCTTGCTGGATTATCCGTTTTGCCGGACCAACAGAGATCACGTAATAATAATTTAACAAATACACCTCTGACCCACTAATTGTACCCCTCCTGTGTCTCTAAAGCACCATGGACTGCCAGAAACTTAAATAAAACAAATATTAAATGTGAATTAAATTATTAATGAAATACATCAGTACATTATAAATGATACAGGTTTATTAGTACGGTATAAATGATAGAGGTTTATTAGTGCAGGTATAAATGATACAGGTTTATTAGTAAAGTATAAATGATAGAGGTTTATTAGTTCAGGTATAAATGATACAGGTTTATTAGTACAGTATAAATGATACAGGTTTATTAGTTCAGGTATAAATGATACAGGTTTATTAGTAAAGTATAAATGATAGAGGTTTATTAGTTCAGTATAAATGATACAGGTTTATTAGTACATTATAAATGATACAGGTTTATTAGTACAGGTATAAATGATACAGGTTTATTAGTACAGTATAAATGAATAAGGTTTATTAGTACAGGTATAAATGATACAGGTTTATTAGTACAGGTATAAATGATACAGGTTTATTAGTACAGTATAAATGATACAGGTTTATTAGTACAGTATAAATGATACAGGTTTATTAGTACAGGTATAAATGATACAGATTTATTAGTACAGGTATAAATGATACAGGTTTATTAGTACAGTATAAATGATACAGGTTTATTAGTACAGTATAAATGATACAGGTTTATTAATACAGTATAAATGATACAGGTTTATTTGTACAGGTATAAATGATACAGGTTTATTTGTACAGGTATAAATGATACAGGTTTATTTGTACAGGTATAAATGATACAGGTTTATTTGTACAGGTATAAATGATACAGGTTTATTTGTACAGGTATAAATTATACAGGTTTATTAATTACTGTACTTACAAGGAATGTTGCAGTAGTACCGCTTCCGAAGTGGTAAATTTTATAATTTTACTGTTATTATTATTGATATTTTCAAGTACGTTATATTTTGAATTTTCCTACACTATTATCAACATTCTGTGTTGTGAAAAATAGAAGAAAAATTTGAAAATGAATATTTTTTTCATGCTAAACAACATATTCTTGGCAACATTCATGAAAACATTCAAGCAATTTGATACACTAGTTTAATATTTATGTGAAAATTTTCACGAGAGAGACATACCTACTTAAAATGTAAGTAGCCCTCCCAAAAGAGCATGTGTGTCACACACAATGCCATCTGTGGATGCCCGGTGAAGTAGTTTGGCGGTTGTGGGAATTTCAAGTGCGCTCTCGTAATTTTGTATAGATTAAAGGAGGTGCCAGACCATCAAATGCCAGAAAATTGGTGGTGTACTGTATTTAGAGAAGTCTAGTCATATTCATGTACAGTCTTCATTCAAAAAATGAATAGTTTTATTCTTGTGAACTGTAATATTGTTCAGGGAATTCCCTAATGTTGTCCATATTCGTAGAATTATTGCATAAGATAGTCTCTAGTCTTATTCACATAAACTGTAATGTTTATCCGAAAAGTCTAGTTTTATCCACGTTGATTGTAACATTGTTTAGGATAGTATCTTGTAGAATGTGATATCCAAGGGAAATCTGTAGTATCATCCATGTAAACTGTCAAACCAAGTTTATTGTTGTTAATAAAAACAATAAAATGACATTTTTCAAAAGGATCTTTTATATAGTAGCAAGAGTTATTAATCTTACACTTCACTAAGATTTGGGTGTTAGAGTTCTCTTTTAATTATAAAGTAAAATCATCTAAACCTTTCTTTAATTTGAAAATGCATATAATGACAGTAAAACTGAAAACGTTGTTTAAGCTAAAGGCTTTTTATCTGTACTTTATTTATTTTTAGGTTAATGATTACTTTGGTTAGGACATGAAAAGCTGAGGGAACTGCCTCTTTTTCTTCAGATGAACAATTGCATTTTTGTAAAATTAAGAAACATTAATATTTTTTTTTATTCCATTTCAGAACAATGATTTTTTTGAAATGAAGAACCTTATGAAAAGAGTTAAAGAATTAAAAACAGTAAGTTTTTTTTGTCTAGAAGTGAAAAGCAATAAATGTTAAACACACATCTCTATATAATAAAGAAGAAAAATATTTTTAATGTAAAGCATTTGAACTTCATAGTTTTATTTCAATATCTCATTTGATGTTTCTAACATTACCTCAGTAAATATTTCCAAAAGTCTTATTTCTTTGAAGTATCAGTAATTACAAGTATTATCTGTCAAGATACAAAAACAGTTGAGATAAGAAACACATGTCAGACTAGTGTAACAGGTGAGCCAGTGAAGGCCAGTCATTCAGATTTGATGTTTCACGAGTCACAAATGAATTTATTTAAACTCAAGAAAGATAGCTGTGTGTGTGTAGCTGAGTGAGCACACAGGTCATCAATTCGAGGAATTTACGTGTGAAACAAAGAATTGATTCAAAATGTTATTTCAAAATGCATATATAAAACCTGAAAAAAAAAGGGTTTGTTTTACATCCTCCACATGTAAAATTTGATAAGGCTTAGCAACTTATGGCAAGCAGCAAACGAGTACATAGTTCATAACTAGAAGATATAATTGTTTTCTATAATTCTTTATTTACTGTTCTCTGTTTTAAGAAAGTTAACTGAAATTTATGAACTTATTTGTAAATAGTAATAATGTAAATACTTATATAATGTATAATAATTGACTGTTTTTCAAAATACTAGTCTACTAAAACACAGCCAAGACAGTTCACCTTCTAAAGGCCAGTTTTATATTCTTGGATACAGTAAAATGAGTGCATGTGAACCTCATCATTGTAACTTCTGTATTGTTAGCCAGGCATGGCTGAAAGGTCAATAAAATGAAAGCAATAAATATATATAGATGTATAATATTGTTACGACAGTGGGGGTCACATGACGCTAGTAACACGTCATATTCTCGAAGGTTCGTGAATCCTCGAGTGTTTACTAGATTTGCGGTATTCTTGTATATATAAGACAGCCAAGAAGTGACGGCAACAATGTAATTGAACTGCAGACAGAGATAGAGACAGACACTTGGGTCGAGCGTGTGAGTCGTTCGTTGTGAATTATAGCATTTCTTTAACTTATAGCGTGACCATGGAAATTAAGTGAATTTCAAAGTTGTATTCAGAAAGAATAAACCAGTTTTGTTTAAGAAAGGACTTGTATCGCTAAAGTTTCTTCGGAAAGAATTTTTACAGAAAATTAACTAACGACCAGAGAAGTAACAAATTGGTGTCAGAGAGTGGGACTGAAAAGAAAAAAAGAAATGGAAACGAGAAGCGGTAAATCAAACTACAGCTTAGAAGATTTGATAGCAGCAATACAAGAAAAGCAAAAGAAACAAGAAGAGAGATTACAGCAGTTGTTGGAGGAAAAAGAAAAGAAACAAGAAGAGAAATTATAGCAGTTGTTGGAGG